AGAGTCCAGAGTGACCCACGAAATCCCTATGCCCATGGGAGAGCCTCCTATCCAGGAGGGGAGAGCCCATCTCCTCCTCAGCCTTTTCCAGGGCCATGGCCCCAGAAGGAGGCGCTCTGTTTTCTTCGGTCGCTTCTGAACTGCTCCCCATCTCGGGGAAGTGGAATCCCCAGTGTTGAAAGAGAAGCTGGGCTGGCCAGTGGTGTGGCAGCTGGTGAGTGGGGGGCCCTTCGCACCGGCTCGCTGGGCCTGTGAGGAAGACGCTCAGAGCGAAGGGGTTTTCATCCTCATGCTGGTCTCCACAGTTGGTCACATGATTTGAGTTGAATCCACGGAATCGACTCTCTTTTCCTTCGCCCCCAGCATTCTTATCAAGGTGGAAGTTAAATAAAAAAAAAAAAAAGCCTACAACTAAACAGAACTAAAAAAACAACCGGCCAACCGAGAGCCTGAGTGAGCGCCGGGACACGGAGAGGAAATGCCCGCCCTTGCACGTTGATGTCGCACACGTCCTTCCTGTTCCCGGGACAGGACTTTCCCCTCTCCTCTGCCGGGCTGTGGGAATCTGACAGCGCTAACGACCTGCTCAACACTCCCAAAGCCGAAGGCTGGTCCCGGCAAAGACTAAAGAGGACTAAAACGCACTTACTCCTTTGTATGGGATGGTCTGTAGCCTAGGCCACAAAGATAAGCCCCCTGCTCGTCTAGCTGGATCGATGCTATAAGACAGCCTTGCTGTGACAAGACTCTACACCCCTCCCCTCCTTTCGGTTCCTTTTGCTTGAAGTGATTCACTTCACAGCCCTTTCTCACTTTGGAGAAAGCGCAAGAACGCGCAAGTGCCTCTCACCTGCTCGTAGAATCGATTGTGGGCAACATAAAACTTGGAATCAAAAGATTCTTCTGTCACTAACACTTGTTGTCTTTCGCCAATCTGTGGAGAGAAGGGGAGAAAAAAGGAAAGGTAAGGGCAAACACCTGAGAACCCAAAACAAAAATGCCAGCCCAAAGAGTCTTGGATCAGTAAGCAGTGTCCTCTTGGATTTAAAGGAGACTCTCGATTGCCAGTTACTGAGCAGCTAATGTAAGAACCACTAATTCAAATTTCCTGAAAGACATTATTATCTATGCACTAATAGAAAATGAGCCTAGCATGAAATCTTATTTTCTTACATAACTATGAAACAAAACTTATCTTCCTCCTTCAACATAAGTAAGATAATTAAGGCTTCTAAGACATACAAAAATCTTCTAAGTATCACTTGGTTTCTTGAAGCAGTGTTGCGAAACAAGCCAGAACAGGCTGCTTCTAATCCAAATTCATGAAAATATTTTGGCAATAGGAAAGAGTAGTAATAAACATTAATTTGAGTTATGAGGGATGTAACACTAAAGAAAATGCCTCAAAAACTAGTCATTAAGTCCTTGCATCTAAACATTTCACACATTGCATATAACTCTGAAATTACGGATTAATTCCTACAGCTATTTACTTATTATATACATTTACTCTCTCATAAGCAACCGTCTCTTCTTTGTTGCAGACATGACCCCATGTTCATTTTTTTTTTTTTTTTTTAGGAAGAAAGACAGCAAAGATATGAGACTGTTAATTCTCTACAAGATTGATCTACATTATGGTCTAAGCGTACATCTTTAATAACCAAGAAGTTAAATCAACCAAAAACACTGGTTAAAGAAATGTGACTAGTCAGAAAAATTCTACCATTTCCAAGTTTCGTCCACTGTGAAATGCAACATTGAAAGTGCCAATTACTTCTTTTTAACAAGGTTGTCAAAATGTCTGGAGTAGCAACTAGCTGTACTGAATGATTGTGCCTAGAATTATTTTTGCCTTCGCTACTTGATAAATACAACTCTCTGTATTAAAGCACATTGACAAGAAGATTTCAAAAAAGCAGTCCCTATTCTCATATATAGGGACTTGTCACCATGTTCGGGCAGTTAGCGTTTACGAAATGTAAACACAGCTGCACTAAACAGACCACCTAACAAAAACAAAACACCAAACTCCCCTCTCCATCATATGATGTCAATACCTAAACACACCATAATTTACTATCTTTTTTTACTATCTTGTTCAAAATGTAGCCCCTTTAGCCAAAGGTCGTAAGGGCTCTACGAGGATGATACCTATCAAAGACTTCCTTCACTCCCTGAAAACTAATGAAAGTTCCTGCAACATTCATCCCTTTTAAAAATTGTTCCTGCAACATTCATCCCTTTTAAAAATCGAGTAGCAACCAAAGAATGTCTCCCCAACTTCTCCTTTGAACGGGAACGGCTCTGTTTATTTAAAAAGACTGATGAATATTGGTTTTTTATTCAAGTATATTCTTCTGGAGGAAAACTTAAAATGTTTGTACACATTACACAGTGTGAGTTGCTTGTAACTTAGGATAAGTATCTGTCGATGGTTCTTAAGGAAATCTGCAATTACACTTCATCTCACATTAAGTTTTCGGGAAACAAATCTAGCAACAATATGAGATTGTAGAGCCACTGAAGAGGTAGGCTGCTTCTTCCGTCTTGTTCGAACGGAAGTGGGCAGCTGCAGTCAGCACCGCTGGGCTGTCCTGGCTCGCCCGGAGTAACAGCCACAGAGTTCGAGGGCCTTGCTCCGGTTGCACGGCGGAGGGTGGGGCTTTTGATCAACCACCCCAGAACTATTTGTAGGGAGTATGTAACTATTATTTGCCACAGGGATGCAGGAAAATGGCTATGTGCAGTGATTTATGGAGACAAACATCTCTCCCATCACCTCTTCTGTCCCCTCGGCCACGCATTCTGTCTCACTGGTGAGGCTCTTAAAGTTCCTTCGAAAGACACGAAGCAAAAATGAGCAAAAGGAAGCTAGGACTTCGATCAAAAGCTGCCACAATCTGTTCCAATCCCCTTAAAAAACCAACAAAAACCAATAATAAATGCCCTTCTCAATATTTTTTTTTTAAAGAATAAAGTTGCAATGAAGTGACTATCAAATACAACCTTTAAGAGAATCGACTATTTCCAGTAACCTTAAAAATACCGATGACATTAAGGAAGGGGGGGTTCAGGTGGAACTCGGGGGGGGAGCAACTTTGCCTTGGTGACAGTAAGGGACCTCAGGGGCCAAGGGTTTGTGTATAAGCCTCACATCTTTTTCTAAATGAGCCACCTCGCCCCTATACTTTCCAACTGTTTTCTCCCGGACCTCACAGGATAACCCAGCATGGTTAACGACCCACATATAATGAACAAAATTTAGGGTAATCACCCTGGTTTGCCTAAGAATGCCTCTGCTAACCAGCAAGGATGTCCTGGTCTGAAAGGAAAAAGCAGGGCATCTGGAGAAAAAAGGCAAACCTCCAGGGGACAGAATGTTGTCCTACGAGGAGAGGACAACCACCGCCCAGCCATCTATTGTACTAAAGGCAGAGAGAATCCACTAGTTGGGGTCAGTTTGTCTTACTGACGGAGAATGCTGGAGAGCGTGCTATGTCCCATCTGACGTTCTGATACTCTTCTCTGACCGGAGCACAAGGTGACCTCATTGGCTTTGGACAAGCCTTCTGCAGAAGAAGTCAACAGAGATGGCTTGTGTAATTTAAGAAACAGACAAACTGCTAAGAATACATAAGAGGTTGACAATGAAGTGTTTCATAAAGATTGTGACTAGTAGCACTTGTGACAAATTAGGATGCTAGTGGAATCGCGAACCCAAAGAATGGTCTAGAGGCAGCTTCAAGAGAGCTGGAACATTCCAGGACAGGAGGGAAGGGGTTGCTTGGACGGGGGCAGGATGGTCAGAAGAAGGGGTGAGGAGTTCCCGCCGAACCTGGGAGAGAGGAGACTCAAGGAGGGTTATTTAAAAACACTAGCCGCCACATGTTTGAAGGAGGTGGGAGGACACAGGGTCTGAGTAGATTATTTTTAAGATAAAAGAGATGTGAGTACTTTTTGGGCCTTCACATTCCTCATCACAAAAAGAAGAGGTCAGTGGACGCAGCAGGACATGGGAGAGGAAGTGGGTTATGATATTTTAAGGACCTCTCAGTTTCAAAGTTCTAGGTCATCCTTCATGGGAGATCGGTAGGCTCGGGACTGATATGCCCACAAGCTTCCCGATGAAGGAAATATGTACTCTAAATCCAGGCTCACTTTCCTTAAAGCCAATATATGCTTCGAGCCCTCTGCAAATTACGGCTACTTTCTTGCTGCACTTAAAAGTAATGTGATCTCTAATACCCACCAAGGAAATGTTTAAAAAGTCTCTCAAAAAGCTGTCGAGCTGAACCTAAAGATGCCGGTCAAAATCCTCCCCACAAAGCCCTTGTTTTATAATCCTAAGAAAGATAACCCTTTTCTTTCTGATTTGTTTTACAGGTATATAATTTATAGGTGCTTAACTACAATGCTCATTTAGTTTCTTCAACATTTTTGGGTTTAGGAACTTGGGATGGGAAGTAAGAATTTCTGGGGGAAACTCAGTTTCCTTTTACGAAGTCTGACCTTTTGGACATTGGTCAGGACTTCTGCAGTCTTGCTCTCACAAGGTAGGCCTACTTCATCATTTATTCATCAAACGTCCATGGAGAAAGCTGTTTTTCCTAGGCAAGCAGAACTTCAGTTAGTCCATTTTAACCTAGCTTTAAAAAGATGTTTTATGAAGGGCACCTGGCTGGCTCAGTTGGAAGAGCATGCAACTCTTGATCTCGGGGTCGTGTGTTGGAGCCCCACGCTGGGCGTAGTAAAGTTCGCTTAAATAAATGAAACTTTAAAAAAAAGGATGTTTTATGAAAAATGAATTATAAAAAGTCTTGTAAAACCATCCTTCTTCCATTTCACACACCGCATCACCAAAGTGAGGCAAAGTGTAGGAAAAAAGGACTCACGGGATCCTGCATTACTGGTGACCTCACGGAGCTGGATACAAAAGAACGCACCTGGTACAATTTTCCAGGCCTTGTTGGAAAGATAGGAGAAAGTGTCTCATGGTTAGCTATCTATTCATTTATCCATAAAGGCTGGAAATAAAGGCAGGAGTCCCATAAACCGACGAGGAAGTGAGCAGCTGAAGGGGGTTTGGCAATCTCAGGTTTCACAGAGAGGAAACTGAGGCCCAGGAAGACGTGGTGATTTGCTCAGGGGCATGGGCAGAAGGACGAGGAGGAAGTGTTGGAACCATTCCCACTCCCTGGTGCCTCCTATCTGAGTGCTAGCTGGAGAACATACAACATCACAGATCGGATTCTGCCGCGCATGACTTTTCCTTGAGTAGAGAAACATCTGCGACAAACGAAAAGGAATGTTTTTAAATTCAAGTTTTGGGTAGAAATTTCAGTACATTACATAATCAGCTGGCTGTGTTGTGTCACATCCATGCTTAAAATTTCCCAAGTGCCCAAAGTTGTGAGAAACATCAGTTCTAACCATATGGCCAGATAACACACATCAGACACTCCTGCATTAGCAAAGCAGTGGTTTCCAGCAGAATTTGGTTGCTGCATGAATGCTCAATTCGAGTGTACTCTCTTTCTCCATTTGTCCTCAGAAAGTTCCTAGCTGGCTGTGTAAGGACTGGAAGAGAGACGCTGAACAGACCTGCTTTAAGGCAGGCACACAACACAACGTTAACCAAAGACCTCAGAGTGTGTATGTGGCCTTTACCTTTATCTTGCGAAGAAATGTTACTTGCATAAGACTCCTCGCACTAGAAGAAGTAGGTTTCTTCTAAACTCCTATATATGACTTTAAATATAAACTTCTCATAGTTTTATTTTTTCTTTATTAGTCCACACCACCCCCCACCTTGCCACTTTTCACTTCTGTTTTCTTACACAGGGAGCCTGATTTAAGGCTTTGGAAAAAAAATTCCAATGCAATCTCTATTGGAGGGTTAGGTTAGAAAGATCTCGGTATCTCAGTATAATG